TTCTAGGTCCAGCTCTCTATTCTATCACTGTCCAGTTTCTTCTGAATTTCTCCATTATAATCTATATCATTCTGATGCTGTCATATCATTTACTACTAATTGGTTACAGTTCAGGTTTTAAATGACAGCCATCCTATTCACTGAATGCTAAGTATTATTTCCTTTAGTAATATTGGTATAATGCTTGATACAATTATGGGACAAGAATTCATCCTTTTATTTGAATGACTCCACATTTTCTGACTACTCTTTTGGCTGTCTGGAATTTATTCTTGAGTTTCTGTCCTTTGGTCTAATGATAACTTCCAGACTGCATTAAGCTCAAAGGTTTTCCCCATGGACAGATTCTTAGAAATCCTATCATACCTTCGAGTTACAGGAGCCCAATGCTTAACTTTTTAACTATTCCACTCCTACTATACTGTATACTAACCACATATTTTATGTCCACACTAAATTAATGGTAAGAAATCAAAGATAAACAAATAAAAATGATTAAGAGAATATCTTTAAAAGGTGATAAAAGAGCTTCTTGGTACAAGACCAATGATATGAAAGATATAAATACATTTTTACCAAACTCTGAATGATCTTACATGAGAAAAAATAGCTAATTTTTCAACCAAAGGATGTTTCGAATGTGAATTATACTAGATTTTTGAACATGCTTTATTAGATAAGAACTTGTTCTAAGTTTATAATGTATGTGTACAAGTGGAAACACTAAACATTGTCATATGAATTGTTTAAGTTTCTCTCATTTACATTTCTACTTGAGAGGTCTACTTTTAAATGTGAAAACCCAATTCATATGTTCAGGGGCTAATGATTCCATTTGTAAAAAGTCTCTTGTTTTAATTGCTTCTTCATCTGCTTGCTTCCTCCTCCTCCCTTTCTTCTTCTTTCTTAATCTTTATACTCAGTATTTCTGTCTAAGATAGGAAAAAGAAGTCATAAACGTCAAGCCAGCCCCATACATTTCATTTTTTCGCTAGCTACTTGGCTAGATATTAAGATTACCTGTCTTATACAAGGCTTGGAGACTATCTTAAGGTGTAATTCTGTGGAGCATATTTGTTTATTGTTCAAAAAAATGGAGAGCTTTCAATATCTTCCATTTGGAGCTGGCTTTCAGCTAGCTACATAAAAACCATGGTTTAAAGGATAAGAACTACAAATCACAAATATATACATGTCCTGAAGTCTAATAAATCCATCTCAAATTACTTTTCTCTGTCAAGAAATTTGAATTGTGGATCATCATTCGAGAGTTTCCATCTTCCCTTTAAGAACTATCCTCTGAAACTCACTTTTGGGCACTGCCCCCAGCAGAAGCAAATAAAACATAAGCTGTTCAAATGATATGAGGATCAAAATGTGTTTTCATGCCACAAGTTATGACAAAAATAAGTACTACTTTTATAACTAGAATGCATGTATTGGTAATGTACCAATTACAATGCCTTCTGCTATAAACAACAGAAAACATATCTCTAACTAACTCAGACATAAAGAAATGCACTGTCATACACAGCAGGAAGCCAAGGAGGTGGGTAGATTTCAAAGGTAACTTAGCGATTAGCTCCAGCTTCGTCAGTCTCCTCTGTCCTTTCGCATTGGCTTTTTACCGGGCTGGTAGGAACATGGTTCCACTAGTTGGGATCACATATCCACACACCAAAGGAAGAAAGAACATCTCTTCCTGTATTTCTTCTTTCTTCAGAATGAAAGGACTTTACCCAGAAGCTCTGAGAAATTATTTTGGTATCTCAGGGGCCCATGATAAAGTACATTTTTTTCTGAAATTAATCTCAGTAACTTGGGAAAGCCTTATTTATTTTGCTCATGTCTGGGTCCCTGAATCAAAAATGAGAAGGTTTTCTGTCAGTGTTTGGCTGTCTTCACAATACTACAAATGTGGCCTGACATCAGGCTAATACCTGTAAAAAGGAAAACTCAGGCCATTCAGGTCCCTCCTTCCAAATTACCACTCTCCTCCAACCTACTTGGGTTTTTCACTCTCTGTAGACTTTGGGTAGCTGTTTTCTGTAGTTTTATGGTTTGAGTTATGTTCCCCACCTCCCAAAATTCATATGCTGCAGTCCTAACCTCCAATACCTCAAAATGTGACCTTATTTAGCTGTAACTAGTTAAGACGAAGGCATACTGGAGTGGGGGGGAACTCGGGGAGAGGCCAAGAACAGATCCTCCCTCATATCCCGCAGAAGGAACCAGCCCTGCTGATACCTCAGTCTCACACAAGAAACCTCCAAGATGGTAAAACAGTAAACATCTGCTGTTTAAGACAACCAATTTGTAGTACTTTTTTAAGGCTGCCCTAGCAAAGCCACACACACTAGGCCTAATGTTTACACGGGGAGGCCATTGGGAGATTACTCCCCCAAATGGGGGGTGAAACTGTCTTACTTTCCTGAGAATAAGTTAATGTTTTCTCTATGCAAAATAGGGGCTATAATGATATGTACCTCATAGCATTGTTGGGATGATGAAATAAGCTGATATGCATAAAACATAAAGAACAGTAAATGGAACACGTATGTTCTCAATAGTTACTAGCTATTCTTGGCCTGCACTCACTGGACTGTAATATGGGCTCCAATAGAGGCACTCTAGGTGCATCACCAAACAAAACAGAATCTAAACTTTGGCCCTTCTGCGGTTGACACTGTAACGAAAGAATGCAGACAATAAAATGAATAAGCAAATTAGGTAATGTATTGGCCAGTACTAAGTTCCACGTGCAGAAATGAAGCAGAGAATGAGGAGAGGGTGGGCTGGTGTTGGACATGGCAGCTGTTGACAAGCTGGCCCAGAGAGTCATCCCTGGAGGAGGTAAGAGCCTGAATCAGTGCACACCAGGCAGACAGAACAGCAAGTGCAAGTGCCCTGTGGAAGGAGCCAGCCTGGAGTACTCAAAGAGCTAGGAGACCTGTGTGCTACAGCAGAGTGAGCTGGGAGGCAATGGGAGGGAGGTTACAGATGTAACATAAGATAGGTGTACATGTCCTAAAAGGGCTTTTGCTTGCACCCTGAAGGACACGGCAAGTCATTAGAGGTTTTGAGCTTAGGAACGATATGATCTGACATACATTTTTATAGGATCATCCTGACTACTAGGTGAGAGCAGATTTGAGAAAGAAGAGCACAGAGAGACTAGTGAAGGAGCTGTTTCTGGAGTCCAGTCTAGGGATCACACTGCCTCTGACCAGAGTTGGTCAGTGGAGGAGGTAAAACGTAGTTAGGCTCTAGGTGCTTTGACAAGTGCCAGGTTTTCCTAATGGATTGAGTGTGATATTTAAATGAAAGAAAGGAGTTAAGAATGACTCTGAGGTTCAGTCCTGAGCAACAGGAAGTATGTTTCCATGAACCAAATTAGGAAAGACTTTGGAGCAATGGGTTGGGAAAGGAGAGTGAAGTTGTTAGTACCATCATCTTGCCTCTTACCATTAGCAATTTGGCCATTATTATCGTTAGAACGACTGAAGTAGTTGCTACTATTGTCTTTCCTCTTCCTGTTACTATTACTGACATTTTTATTGTTAGAATGAATGAAGTTGTTACTGTTGTCCTTCCTCTTCCCCTTACTATTACTGCGGTTATTATTATTAAAGTGAGAGGCAGCTTAATCCACCCTGTCCTGTTTATTCTCAGTGGCATCGTCTATGGGACCTTAACAAGCTCCTTTGGGGTCTGCATATCACATCCAGCTGCTCCTTTTTCCTGCTGAAATCTGGTCCCAAAAGGAAGTCAGTGGATACAGAGTGTGCCCCCTCTTCTGAGAACATAATCCCTGTCCCTACCATCACACCTTCCCTCTCAATCTCCCAAGACTGTCTTTGTGAACGGAAATCCCTACTTTTCCTTGCCTTTTGGAAATTTCATTGCCCTTCGCTTTTTCTCATTTTAGCCATTCTTCTTCCGCTTACTCCAATTTCCATTAATTCTTGCACCAGTTCTTCCCCACTCAGAGTCCTGGCTGTTCTCGCCCATGAATTCTGCGGTGACTCCTCAGTAAATCTGAATAAATTCTGTGATTTGTCTTCCCAGCTCTTCCCTTCCCTCTGGCCCTCAATTAAAGCTCTTGCTCCGGGAATTGTTGCTTGGAGTCTGAGTGATAGCTTGCTCCTCTGTAAAATAAAGGAATTAACGAGGTCATCTGTAAAGATCCTCTCTGCTGTAACTTTTGAACACACTGACTTGGTGTTTTTCCTGTGTGGCAGGTTCTCCTTTCTAACTCATCTTCACAGCCTTTCATTACTGTTTCCAAGGGCCTAACCACATTTTTTATCATTATTTCACTCATTTCTTAACTTGGTCAAAAAATGTTTATTTTTTTTCTAGGTATTTCCTAGAATATTGCACACAAGGTATTTGTGGGACAATGTTTCAAGCTTAAAGAAACAAACTTATTTGGACATTCCTTAACCATGAGTGAGGTTTTGATTTTCTTTAAGAAATCTGTGACTGGAAAGTTTGGTTAATGCCAGGGAGAGGCAGCTAATGGCACAATTTCTGCTTTGATTTTCTGTGACACACTTTTGAGGTTTTCATCCTCACTTCTTTGTGGTACCCTCCTCTTTGTCTTCCTTTGGTCCTGTAACTGCTAATTTTCATCAGTGACCAAAAAAATAAGAGTGACAGGGAAAAAACAATTTAGCTCAGCTGACTGTTTCTTCTACAAATGAGGGTGCACAGTTTGTTCTCCTGGATTTCAGATTAAATTAATAAAAATTTTAATCCTATAATCAGAGGTCAAAGCTTATTATTTTGAGAGAGAGAGGCAAAGAGACAGAGAGAGGGAGAGAGAGAATCCCAAGCAGGCTCCGCACTCTCAGCACAGAGCCCGATGTGAGGGTCAAACTCACGAACCATGAGATCATGACCTGAGCTGAACTCATGAACCATGACATCATGACTTGAGCTGAAATCAAGAATCTGACACTTAACCGACTGAACCACCCAGGTGCTCCCATCAGAGGTCATTTTTAATACTTTTATTTAAGAAAATTCCAGGTGATTTTGAAATACATCAAACATCCATTTATTGAGGACAAGGGAGGTTATTCTAAAACATTCTTGAATAGCCCTAAACTGATTTTGCCTATCAGAAGAAAAAGGAGAAAATCCATCCATAGGAGTCTTTCTATACTAGGGGTTACATAGCCAAACTTCTTAGGCATTAAAGAAATTCTCACACACATATACACACATACACACACACACACAAAATTAGTTACAAATACTCCATTTTTAAGATTAAGTTTTACACAACACATTATTACCACAAATGGGTCACTTGGATACAATGGCTATCTCTAGTTATTTTTAGCAAGGGAGCTAGATTTCATCATACTCAATCCTGGCTTATAAATTTAACTTTGTACACTTGCAGGAGAAATGTGAGCTGTCTGCCTTCTCTGACAAATTACAAGTCATCCTGCGAGTCCCACAGTGAGGACATCCTCCCTCCTCTGAACTCTAGGGGGAACTTCTCCATGTGTCCCCCATACCTTCTAATTCACAGTCTCCCATATCTATCAAGAAATAATTATGGAAGAAAACAAGCAGCAGAAAGATAAGCAAGCACTGTAGTTTAATAGAAAAAGAATAGGCTCTGAATCAGACAAACCGAGCTTTGTATTTCATTTCATCCATTTATTCACCGTGTGCTGCTGGGCAGTTGATTTAACTATCTGAGCCTTTGCTTCCACTTCTGTATATGGGAGGTATGGGGGGTAAGTACCCACCCACATAGGGTACTGCAAAGCTTAAATTAGAACTGCAAAGCGCTTGGCACATACGAGACACCCAATCAAAGTCACTTCTCCTTCCCCTGTTATGGCATATCATTCATGGTTCAATCCTGCAGTATGGTTGACTGAACACAGGGCTGTTTCTGTGCTGTGAGCTTTTTGAAGGCAAAGTCGTGTTATTCTTTGTATTTCCTCTTGAACCTAGGGTAGAGAGCCACACTACCTGGTGGCACAGTAACTATGTATTGTTTTAAACTGAGGGCTGAAACAGGACCACTCCTAAGCTGTGCAACAATTATTCAATTATTCGTGGATCTGGGCTCTTTTAATAGGACAGCTCCTCTAGTAAGCTATGGCTTCGGCCACTTGGGTGTGGAGACAGTCCACCATGTTTTAAATTAGGCTGCCCAAAACATAACCACTTTCCCAAATTCTTTGGCACCTAATCAGAATGATGTTCCATTTCTCACAGTAGAAACTGCTGCAGAAAAACTGACCTTATTCTGAGAGAAACAGAATCCATTACATTGTGCCAAAGTGACAAGCTGTGTTGTAAGCACTGAGTCACCTAAACATGGGTTTTAAACACCAGCTGGCCCCTGACTAGCCATGAGACCTTGGCCAAGCTGTCAGCGCTCCTCGAGCCTCAATTACAATAGGCCGAGAGACACTAACTCTACTGCTGTTGTCACACAGGGTTGTGGGTAGAGAAGAAAGGTGATTCCGTGGAACCAACTTGCACAACTGTGAAGCAGGATGCCAACACGAAGTCTAAAAAGCCATCACTTTTCAGTCACGTAAGCTCTTCCTCTGTCATAGTCCAGGCCTCTCCCCTTATTCCCTTCTCCGGCAACTGACCAGCTCTCATTTTATCATTTCAATTCAGTTGAGCAGGAAAGCAATGCACGTGTGTGTGTGTGTGTGTGTGTGTGTGTATCAACACACAAGTGATCAAATCTATAGCCCTGCCTGTCACATTACAATGCAGCAAGAAGGTGTGGTCGTTAATTCACACAACAAATCCAGCATCTGTAAAGCAAAGGGCTGGTCTGGGGCAGGCAGCAGGGACTTCACGCATTACTTCTCTGTCTGATGCTAGAACACTGCACGGCCCATTTGCCTGTGGCTTTTTCTCATGTGTCAGTCACAGCTTCCATTGTAAAATATTTCTAAGAAAATACAGTCCAACCAAAGCATAATAGAAGGGCAGCCCCAGATGTAAGGAGGCGGGCTGTGGGAAAAGCCAAGGGACCAGTCTTTTCAGTTCTGGTGGAATCGTTGTTTCTAGGTCATTCCAGCAATGTCACTTTAGGAAACCAGGTTCCTAAGGACATTGGGAGGGTGGGGAGGCAGATGGGCCATCTACACACTATATATGGAAGAACGAACCTTCCCAAATTTCTGAAAAAAATCATCTTCTGCCCGGACCAATGCTTCTTCATCAATGTACACAGCCGGCCTTTTGGCCATGAGGAAGTACTGCACCTTCCTCAGATTCCAGCCCATCACGTACTGGAGCCAGCCGCACACGGCCGCGGTGGATCTGCCGACCCCGGCGTTGCAGTGCACGTATACGATGTGTCCATTCTCGAGCAGTGCGTGGAGGAGACACACCGCCTGTGGCAGCATCTGTACTCGGCCTGGGATTGAGAAAGCACAGCACACACACATGAATAATGAACCCCGATATCACCACTCATAATAACTCCTGCAGCGCCTAGTGAAATTAGTGCCATACAGAGAAGGGTGGGGACATTAGAGCTGGCTCCATTCCTTTGCTTTGATGGAGAAGGTGAGACAATATCAAAGCCTGCTAATAATAAGGCGGAAAGAGCCCTCCAGAGGCCGTGGATCAGCTCTGAACCTTCCCTTGCTTTGGCCTTGAGTGACTTCTGCCTCAGTGCAAATTTCCTTTCAAAGAACAGTGAACCACTGTCTATAGTCAGAAGAACGGATTTTTACATCTATCAGAATGATTTGTATGGATCGGGCAGAGATTTAGAGGATTTCACCTGGACTTTCTTTAATCCAAACAGATCTTCAGGATAAATGCAAAGCACAGAATTAATCCATATTGATCAAAGGAGTCAATCTTATTCATTAAACACATGCTAATTTTCATCTGGCCAATGGGATGATGACATTAATTGATACACATGCGATAAATGATCATTCATTTGTTCCCTCATGAACCAGTGAGTATTGAAATGATTCCATTTCTCCTTTGCTGCACAGTCACCTCATGACTATTATTTTGGTTATCAGGTGGTCAGATGTCTTCTCCTTTACACACTGAGAGCATATGCAATGATCTGCTCAGAAACGATGGACTCTCTCATCTCATGAGGCAGAGATCCCCCTAAAATCATCAAACTCCTCGATGCCTAGAGTTTTTTTTGCACACAGGTTCTCAGAACAAAGATGGTTAGTGGATTTGCCAGGGAGGGGGGTGGATAATGGTCACTACAAATTAGTCTATAAATTATTTCAAAAAGGAATAAAAAGGGAAACTATACAGATTACCTAACCTGGATTATGTGCCCGTGACTTTTCACACTCTAGCTACTCTGTGTTCTCAACCCCACAGGGTCACAAAGGCACTTCACGCTGCCACACCCCTGGATAACTGGGGAGGTGGGGAAAGCTCCCCCCTCAAATGATTTCAGTGTAGATCTTCACGGAGGCCTAGAATTCCATGGTGGGGTAGAGCCGAGAGGCGATGAGAGGCGCTCAAGTAAGTTTAGACTTCCCTCTTTAGATGCCCTCTTTTAAAATGCAAATACCTCTTAAGAGGTCAACACAACATAGGGCAATCAGGTGTCAGCACCTTAGAAGAACAGACAGATGTTACAAGACCCCATCATGGTTTGAAGGCCGTCTCACTTACCCCTCCATCTGGGGTGGGTCTACCTTAGCTTCAGGCTCACTCTACTCTGAGACAGGACCAGAAACATCTACATGGAAGTGAAGACAATATTCTAATTTTGCTTCTGGTACTCTATTACTCTCTTACTAAGGCATCTAAAGCTATGGGTCTCACACAGCAGGTTAGAGACATTTTTGACCGGAATGCCTTCGGTCAGGGCATACTTTCCAATTCCTCAGGCTCCATCTCTTCCTACCACCTGTTGCCATTTGTTCATGCTCCCTGTCTGATCTCTGAGGGCATCTGAAGTTGAGACACACCCGCTCCTCTGTGCCACTTGATTTTTCAGAGTCCGAACTCAGCCATCAACTGTAACTGATTTGCACTTCCTCCCGAGGTTGTGGGGTACTCTGAGGTTAGAGCTAGATGGGCATTTCATATGGGCAGTTGCTCGTGGCACATCCCTAGAGGCAGTAAAATATCACTGGAGATGGAAAGATGTAAAATGTCATAGGTACCAGGGAGCTGTCTCATTGCATGTGTCAGGGCGAGTACTGTATAGTTGACTTACCATGTGAGTTGGGAGATCAGAGGAGGCAAAATTCCAAAACATGTTTGAGCAGCCCTGCCAATAAGAGTGAGGACTACCCATGTGCAAGGCTTTTGTTCTGCTGAAGGGTGTGAGAGGTGTAGCCCAATACTGGCTGGGAAGGGAGTGACCAGACATCACACTGGGGAGCTGGGCTTACTGCTCCTGCTACACTGGCATCATGGGACAAGTTCCCTGTTATAGCTGCCTCTCCAGCTACCATGTACTTTGCCAGGAGATGAGAAGAAACCAAATTTATTTTCTGGAAATACAGTTGACATACAATGTTAGTTTCAGGTGTACAACACAGTATAGATTGGGCAATTCTATACTCCGTGCTATGCTCACCACACAACCTTATTATAAGATTACTGACTAGAGGCACCTGAATGGCTCAGTCAGTTATGCTTCTGACTTTGGCTCAGGTCATGAACTCACAGTTTGTGAGTTCAAGTCCCGCATCAGCTCTGTGCTGACAGCTCAGAACCTGGAGCCTGCTTCGGATTTGGTGTATCCCTCTCTCTCTGTCCCTCCCCTGCTCACATTCTCTCTCTTTCTCTTTCTCTCAAAAATAAATAAATTTTTTAAATTTTTAAATAAAAAAAGTATCCCTGAGACATATTACTAACATGGGTTTTTATTAAATGTCCAGTGTCCAAACAGACCACAGTGGCCACATGCTGTGGGAGCCTCTGGAGTCAGAGCCCCAGTCCCTGTGCTCAGCTTACACAGCATCGGTGTCACCAATCTCCCCAAGCCGGGGTTCACATGGACCCATCAGAATCCCTTCCTCCAACCTGCTCTCGGCCAGAGATATCCTGAGGAAGGGTCTGCATCAAATGGCCCAAATGATGCAATATCTCTCCCTTTCCTCTTTATCTGTAAAGGATTCTCCAAGAGGCAAGCATACAGCTTAGAAGTTGAAAAGGGATATGTGTAAGTTTGGAATTCTGTGACCTGTGACCTCAGATGTGTAGTCCTGGATGGTAATTGGCAGTTGCCATTGGGAAGCCCCAGAAGGCCCCCAGTTTAATTGCCGGTTTCCCCCTGCAGTGGTCTTCTCCTAGAGTCACTTAGCTGCCTCACTTAAGAACTATCAAACAAGTGTTTCATTAACATAACAAAGAACTAAATAAGAAGAAAGGACACCAGACAAGGACCTGGTCCAGGATGTCCACCTGTCCAGGCCTGGCCTCCACTGGAGCTCTCACTTATTTTGATTTCTAGGGACTACAAATCACTCTGCTTTGATTGATGACAGCTAACATCTACTGAGCCCTTTCTCCCTGCCAAGTGCTGTTCTAAGCACTGTGCATGCAACAGTTCATTTACAATCACCTTTTAACAACTATGAGGTTGGCACTATTATTATCCTCAGTTTATACCTGAAGGAACTGAGACAAAGAGATTTCTCCAAGGTTATTCCTCAGTGGCCATTCAAACCCAGGCAGCACAACTCCAGAGCCTCTGATCTTAACCACTATCTTACTGCCCTTCCCTAACCTGCCTGGTCGGTGGTACTTGCTGGCCCCCATGCTGTCAGTCTGAATTCTCAGTCCCTTCCTGCCACCTACCCAGTTACACTGTTGCTCTTAACCCAGGTGAGAGCAACATTCTCCCTGGGGGTTAGGCCTTGTGCCCTACAGGAGCTCTCTGGCCCAGTGGGCCATATGCCTCTGCTACAAAACCCATTCTAGGGAGCCTGAGCTAATGCATAACTCGCCAAGGAATAAAGAGTGTGCCTAGAATCAGAGCTTGCACAATAAACCAGTGTCAACAAGAGCCTCTAATTTTTCATGTTTCATATATTTAGGCTCCATATAGAAGTTAATTAGATAAAAAGTTTCCATGCATAAAAGTGATAATACCTAAAGGCAAGACAGAAATCCAGATTTTTTATATTAAGTATTCCGAATTATAACTGTTGGCAACTAAGTTGAAAATTTTAAACCCCGTGCAGGTCTAACAAAACATTTAACTGTCTGTGATTCTTACTGTGGAATTTAAAACAGGACTTGGCTTTCAGTAGACGCTCAAGAAGCATTCATTAAGTGCATGAATAAAAAATAAAATGAAACAAAATCCAACAATGCTGATTAGATCTGAGACGACCAGACCCCTCTAATCTAACTTGTGGTCCACACCTCCCCCAGGCTAATCCAACCCTGGAATGATTAAAAGCTTCTTAAAAGCATCCATCAAGCAAAAAAAGGCTGGGAGAATGAACACAAAGGCCTGAAACCAGGGAAAGGAATGGAAAAGGCCCTGAAGATGCCCTTTACCTAAGGTTGACCTTGAAATTATTTCTGGAATAAACTTCAGCCTTTCCAACATACACACACAGACACACACACACACACACAGACACACACACACACACCCTTCCTTTTTTACCCCAGGCAAATTTATGGCAGAATACATTATTATTTTACTTGAGCATATCTCTTTTCTCACCTTTGCAGTGTAATATAGATAAGGCCCATACTATCTAGTACATCCTCTGGTAGAAACTTAAGAACTTGGGACTAAAAATATAGTACCAACTTTGCAATTTTCAAAGCACTTTCATATCAATCACCTTATTCTATTGTTATAAACCTATAAGGCAGAAATAATTACCCCATTTTCCAAATGCAGGAGCTAGCCTGCTTGATATCACAGAGTCACATGGTGGCAACAAGGCCAGAGCCCAAGGTACTGTGGCCCCAAGGTCAGTGCCTGCCTCCTGGCAGAGCTGTGCACACTGGGTGAAGTTAGCCAGTACTCAGACTGCCACAACAAAGGGGTGCCTGGGGACTCTGGGAAGCACATTAACTTGTTTGGGAGGCGAGGGCAGGCCATTCATTATCACCAACACCGCACTGACAGAGGTCAAAACACAACTGGGGTACTTCCTATGTGAAAGAAAACTGACTTTTAATGAACAAATTTGGGTGGTTTTTTTTTCAGGTGACTGCTAGATTTGGGAGCTTTTCACATCTCAGGTGAAAGACACAAACCAAAATTTAAAAAAAAAAAAAAAGAAAAAGAAAAGAAAAATCCTAACTCCTCTTCATATGACAAAATGTACAAGAGTAAGGATCGATAGTACAATTGATTGTAACAGGTCTGTGACAACCAGTGGTGACAGTCAGGCCTAACAAACTGTCTTCTTTCTCAGACTTTATCTGACAGCATTATGCTACAGCTCAAAACACATCCAGATGGATTTTTCTCTAGAGGTCTAAAAATATTCAGCTAAATTAATCTATATGTTCATTGTGCTAATATTGTGAGCCGCACAGATTAATCTATTGGTCCAAACTTCCCCGGTGACTCAGGAATGGTCATTAACCCTTTGATGACTCCCCCAGTTATGCTGAGCCAAAGAAAGCCTTCATTTAGCCTTCAGAGTTTGGCCTTTGCCCAGTGGGAGCTTTCATTCGCTGTCCTTGGTGTTGCCAAACTGCCTCAGTGTAGAAGGTATTCCCCTGTTGCGGTGGGGATAGGGACGTGGTGACCCTGTGACCTCCAAAAAGATTTTAACACAACCACAGTGGGACTTTGGGGATGGAGTTTTCCCTAGGGCTTCTGCACACCCCGAACTATTGAGCAAATACCTGTTAGTCATCAGGGCTTCGGGTAATCAGTGCCTGGGATGGAAGGGGCTGCAGGCTATGGTTAGCAGTTCAGCTACTCCAAGCTTGTCTCACATTACACTCCCTATGGGTAAAAATGCTATGAAATTAGAATCAAAGAAGAATCACAACGCTCTCTGGAAGCTACAGGCACGTGGTCCTAGCAATCTTCTCTGTTTTGAAACCAGAGACAGAAAGCACTTTCATATCAATCATCTTATTCTATTTTATCATCTTATAAGGCAGAAATTATTACCTCATTTTCCAAATGTAGGAACTAGCCTGCTCGGTATCACACAGCTACTCAGGGGCTTTCATTCTGCTATCACTGGTGTCTGTCCAATCACCCGGGGGCGGAGGTACTTCACTGTTGTGGCAGGGATGGGGGCCTGGTGACTGTGTGATGCCCCAAAAGATTTTAACACAGCTATAGTGGGCCTAGATTCAACCCATGATCTTATGTGCAAGCAAAGTTATTTTGTTTCTTTGAAAAACAGCAGAGCTCTAATGGCTCGATCAAGTTTCTTTGGATCAGCATTACCAAGAAGAATAACCAATCTATCTCCTCCTTCAGGAAGAAAAGTTTTACACCTCATCCCGAGTGATGGTTCCATCCAGCCAGGTCATGAGAACCACCTGAGATTCATAAAGAGCCAAAGCAGGCAACATCCAGGTTCCCAATGATCCTCAAGGTCTTCTGTCCCCACCTACACCTTGCACTGTTGACCTGGGGGGACAAGCTACCTCCCTGGCAACTGGACTTTGTCTAACTCAGGTGATCATGAGCACAAGGGACTGAGAGTATGGTGGTCTACAGAATGTGCACAAAGTGTCCACCTGAGGTCGCAGGGAGAAGCGTCGTAGCACTCTGTCTGCAGCAATGATCTGAGTCTGACTGCCTCTGTTGAAATCTGGGCTATTTGTCTTTCCCTATGACCTTGGCCACATTACTTAACATTTTTGTACCTGTCTCTCCCTCTGCAAAATGGAGTTCTACATCTGCTTGGAGTCTTATCAGAATTATATGAGTTAGAGCATAAAACTGCTTAGGAGAGTGTCTGATACATTACGTACTTTGGGGGGAAGAGGACTGAAGGTAGAGACATTTGCTGGCTAGGCATCCCTGCCTTCCTTTCCCCTAGAATAACAGCTCACCACACTCCCTTGCCAATGCCATTCCCACAGCCCTCTGCTGCCCCCTGCTGACCGCTGGTTGATACTAGTAGAATAACTTGGTTCTCTCAGCTTCACTTCCCCTCATTCCTTTCCCAGAGAGAACCCTACTCTACCACAAAGCTGAAATACAGAGCATTCCTGTAAAACCCCATGCCTTGGGCCTTGACTTACACTGTTTCATCCGCCTGGCATGCTCTTCCTCCCTCTGCATAGACCTGTCAAAGTCATGCCCACCTCAAATACCATGACATTGATATAGCCTCCCTGTGCTCTTCTCCCCATCCCATAACCCAGGGGGAGCATGTGACCCGTTCCTCACATCACATTCTCTGCATTGTAATTAGTTTTGAACTTGTCCTACCGCCTCTTACCATTAGATAAAAACTATGCCTTCTCTGTGTCTCATTCTCTCAGCACACGCATGTCCTAACCCCTCTTCACAAGGACATGCTCAGCTGGTAGTGGTGCAAGTACAGCCTCACCATTCCCACCCTGCCCCCTGCTGGGCCCCTCATTATCTCTCACTTCAACTATCGCAGCAACCTCTTAACTGGTGTCCCCAGATCCACTGGGGGCCCACCTCCATCTTTTGTCCATGGTGCAAACTGCACTTCTGAAGGGAAAAAAAAAAAAAAGGTTATCTTGGCATTTCCCAGTTTCCCACCTTTTCAACTGCTTCTTGCTGTTTTTAGGATAAAGTCTAATAAAATCCTTCTTGTGGCCCAAATCTGCAAGACCCTCTTCCTTTATTCCCTGACCTGCAGCCATACTGGCATTCTTTTAGAATATTCTATGTTTTCCTGCAGCAGAGACTTCCTAAGCTGCCCCTTCTTCCTGGGAGCCTCTTTCCCATCTCACCCCTATCCCCCACTCTTCAATCTAGCTCAAACACACCTAAAAGAACCTTGTCCTCTTTCTACATCTGATTTGCCTGTGTATATGCTCTCACGGTGGTATATTTCTAACAAAAATTTCATCATAGCTGTAAATTTCTATTTGTAGTTAGTTGATTAATGTGTGTCTTCCCTTTAGGACTCTAAGCTCTATGGGGACAGGAACTATGCTTGCTTTTCCTCACCACTGTATTCCCAGCTGCTGGCATAATGCCACACATACATCAGATATATAATAGACATGTGTTTAATAAATAAACAAATCAAAGGAGACATGTTAAACAGAATCTTAGCCAAAGTATCAAAATATGTCAAATATATTAAACCTAAAACCTTATAGTTATTCCATTTCTATCATTCATATTTAAGTTTCTCAATTATAGAGAGAAAGGTAGGTAGGTAGGTAGGTACGTAGGTAGACAGATAGACAGACAGACAGAAATGGATTCTCTGAAACACTTCAACAAGAAGCCAGAAAGATTTTTCTGATGCTTACCTTCAGTGCTCATATCTGGGGTCGGCATCCAGATGTAGACCAAGCCTTCTTCCTTATACAGCTTAATCATGGTATCTGGAGTCATGGGCTCTGCGTAGCGGTTACAGCCTGAGGAATTCTGTACAATATCCCATTCGGTCTGGAAATTCATTACAGCTGTAATCCCCAATTCATGCTTCAGTTTGATGGTTACATGCTCCACTTGACGAGGGCAGCTACCCAGCCAGATATTTGGTAGAATTCTAATGAGAATATATAGAGGCAACTATTATTATTGTTATTGTTATGGCTTGAGGTCTGAGGAGCTACAGAAAATGTGTGGTAATGAAATGCAATTAACCTTTAAATCTGACACAGGAAAGGCTGCATTAACAATATTAGATGTTGTAATGATATTATTGGTATAATAATATTATTATTGAAGGAAAAAATACTGTAATGTTGTTTTTAAGGAAACAAATAATTCTATTAACTAAAATGCTAGGAAATAGGCATTGGCAAGCCAAATCTAGTGATATATTAAAATAAGTCCACCAAGTTGTATTTATTCCTTGAATGTATATGTGGTTCAACATTAGGAAACTCATCCACGTATTTCAAACACTAACAAATTAAAGGCAAAACTCCAATGATTATATGAGTAAATTCTGGAAAACATTTGCAAAAATCAGTCATTATTCCTGTTTAAAACCCTGCATAAAAATTTCAAATAATAAGAGAACTTGTAAACACCAGAAACGAACAAACAACAATCTTCTTTTAAACAAAATCAAAGTCAAGATTATATCTATTAGTACCCATCATTGCCCTAGATGTTTCACCTAATGCTGCAAGTTAAGAAGAAATATAACTATCTGTAAAAAATCAACAGAGAAAAAGAAAACGTTGTCATTATTTTTCAAGTATATTTCTATATATAAATATCCCAAAGACTAGATCCCACCCTCAAAGTTTCTGAATCAGTAGATCTTGGTCAAGAGTCCAAGAATTTGGACTTCTAACAAGTTCCCAGGCAATATTGATGCTGCTAGATGGCTGTGTGTGGAAATCTCCTCACCTCACACACACTGAAATTGGGTCCCAGAACCCAAAAGACATGCCACACAAATATCATAAAAATGCAAATATTTTCCAAATCAATATATAAATTTAATGAGCACTATTATAATTTATTGTGTGTGGCATATATTGTCTTGCACACTGATTATTTCACATGCGAACACTCTCTCCTGAAATAATGGGTAAATACTCTATTTCAACTTTATTTGAATCACATCACCTAGAACTTTACTAAGCTCAATATAAAGCCTTCAGACAACAGTTTATAAATGATGTGGTAGACATCACTTGATGCTCACCAGTGTTCCCAGTTACCCTCTTTCAAGCATGGAGGACTAAGTTTCTTCTCTGCCTGAAAGTTAGAGCTATCTGGCTTGCTTTTGTCAATAATAAGTGAGCTGAAGTAACATGTGTACCTTCCAGAAAGATATATTTAGGACCTTATGCACAGTTCTCCACGCTCTATCTTTCCCTGCTGCAATGGTCATGAAAACATGTGTGGATAGTGAGCTGCAAGAAGACTGAAGTGGTCTAGAATGGTAAGCTCAGGAGGCCAGACGCCCTGGAGAACCAGTGGCTTGTTGAGATAAGCCAATTTTGCCATTGTTTGCTAACACAGCAGAACCTGACTTGTTCTAACCCGATGCCTAAATAATTAATCCCTTGAAGGACCTGATGTGCAGGAAAAAACTGAGCAGAGGGACTACAGTTTTATTTAGTTACTTTCAGACTGAATTTAAACCAGTCCTCGTCTGTTGGGGACAATTTTGTTTCCCAAGGAACTGTGGAGACATTTTAGATTATGACACTGGGTGGTGCTAATGACACCTAGATTGAGACCAGGGATGCAGCCAAGCATCCTATAATGCATAGGACAGTTCCCACAACAAAGAATTATCGAGTCAAAATGTCAGTAATGCTGTGATTAAGAAGCCTTGGTTTAGGAGAATAAAAGTGGAACAGAGCTCCTTACCATGGGAGGGAAGACAGGGAACATATCTGACACAGAGTTTGTGGCTCATCAGTTACACCACTCTGATAAATTCCATGTCAGATTTTAAAATATGTATGTATGTGCATAAATAGAGAGAGCTATAGAATGAGCAAAAGCCTGATAGTGCAGAGCTGAACAGCACTAAACAATTTCAGTGTGGCGTAATGGAAAGGGCACAAAACATAAGCCAGAAAAGATGCCAATCATAGCATGATATTTTTTTAACGTTTGTTTATTTTTGAGAGAGAGGGAGAGAGAGAGAGAGACAGCAAGCGGGAAAAGGGTAGAGAGAGGATGAGACAGAAGATCTGAAGCAGGCTCTGTGCAGCAGAGAGCTCAATGTGGGGCTCGAACTCATGAACTGTGAGATCATGACCTAAACCAAAGTTAGACACCTAACCAACTGAGCCGCCCAGGTGCCCCCCACAGCAAGAGAATTTTAAAAGCACTTGGTAATAACTATCTGACATTAGGGAAAGTTGTTTCTCATCTCTAAGCCTTTGGCTGCTCATCTTTAAAATGGATCTAAAAATAACTAATTCACGGGAAGAAAATACAATGTAGTAAGGTATTTGAACAGGACTGATACCAGTGTATGTACAATAAATGCAAGTGGCATTAATGTCTAGTTGTTATAATTTACTTATTTTAGTAATTTATTTTGTATTGTAATGACTATTTAGATAATTTCCCATTGTTCTGTGTATCCTTCATTTGAATGCTGCAGAGTTTAGAATATTCACTCTATTCTCTTAAATGAAATCCAGCTTGTTTTGTGGGTTTTTTTCCTTTTGGCTGTTGTTGTTGTAATTGTTAATGTTTGTGTAAGAAGCCAATTGACTAGTCCTCAAATATGGGTATTATCCATCCTCACTGAAAATATCTCACAATATCTAGCATCATCTAAAACTTGAATCCTACTTACATTCCAGAAGATAAACCAAATTTTTATCGCTTCTTGGGCTCTAACAGGTTATTAGGAATTTCTTATGGGTTATTAAAGATTAGTATGGAAAAAATAAAGACAATAAAATTTAAAATAAAGAGAAAATTTAGAAACACAGAAAACACTTAATGGTATTGTGAGGAGGAGCACAGGATCCAAAGGCCTTTCACTTCATTCTAGACCCTAAAGAATTCTCAAATATCCCATTAAGCCCAGGGCTTGACAGAAATATCATTAGCAGGGACACTTTTAGAGTGCTCAAGAGATGTAAATGACCAGGACATTGTTAGCTGAATATTCAGTCTTCATAGGAATGGAAATGACAGACAACATGGGTCTTTGGTTCTTCCCTTTGGCTACTGAGTGAGACCAAGGGCCACCTCTATCTAGATGTTCCATCTCTCCCTCTATTATCCCTTAATCCAGCCCACCCTGCTGGATACCTAGTGGGTGGCAGTGGGGGGCTGTCATACTGTACTGTGGGGTTAAATGGAACATACGAAAGTGTCCTAAGCTAGGAAAAAGGGAAGTAGGGACACCTGGGTGGCTCAGCTGGTTAAGTATTTGACTCTTGATTTTGGCTCAGGTCATGATCTCAGGGTTCATGAGTTCAAGCCCCGCACTGGGGCTGTCATCTGCAGTGTCCGTGCAGAGCCCACTTGGGATTTTTCTCTCTCCCTCTCTCTGCCCCACCCCACTCATGTGCATGCTTACTCACTATCTCTCCCTCTCTCTCAAAATAAATAAACTTAAAAAAAAAGAAAAGAGGAAAACAGATACTTCAGTTATATAACCAAGAAATATTTTGAACAATGGATTTTTAGCGGTAAAATTTTGAAGTGGACTAGTAAAATATTTTAAAGTGAATATTCATGACAGGCAAGCTAAATGCCAAATGTTATCCAGTGTTCTTCTGAATATTAAACTCCTTGAATGGATAGCACTTAGTATACAGCTAGTGAATAAATACCAAAATAGGTGGTTGGCAAGCAAGATTTGCATAAAGATAAAGGAATAGTTTATAGAAAGATACAAACAGCAAATCTTACAAAATAAGAAATCAGAATCCCAAACTAGAGTCAGTATGCAGAATCACACTCTATTACTTTTTAAAAAGATGTTACTCTACTGTCTCAGACTGAATCAATTTCAACTAACCAAGGATCTCAGGAAACTCTGAACAAGTAAAGGTAACCAGGCCCAAAGTTGATACCTTAACATAAGTATTTCCCACATCAGGTTTCAAGGGCAAGGACATAAGCCCTTGAAATGCACACCCACACATTCTCACACACATACAAATACCGTTTTCTGAATCAGATATGTCTAACTTTTTGATAACATAATTAAATCTTCCCCTAAAATTCCAGAAGTCAGAGTCCATATTTAAGAAATGAGTATAAAGTAGTTCTGATTTTTTTAAAGTAAGATGTGCTGAACTTAGGAGATAGATCACAATAGATAAATTCTGAAAACAAGTATTGTGTTGAAGAATAGAGAATTAAGGTTATAAAGTGAATGGTACTGAGTCATTATATGAGATGTGGAGACAAAGGATTGAGCTGGTTGGAAGCACACAGATCAATGGATCCTGCTTCCTCAGACAGCTAAAGTGCCCTCTATATGCACCCTATTGTAGCTTGTTGTCTCTAATAATAGGTGATATATTTCTAGTTACATGATACACTGGAGGTAATAAGATGCATGATGTACTTTCTAAATTGTAATTAGACTTTTACTTATCCATTCAAAAGAAAATGATGTGATATCATTAAAAATCAATTTTTACTCATCTCATTTTACTTTTCATCTTCTTTTGTCATCAGTGACAATTGAAACAACTTTAAAAATCAGAATTTTTTAAGGTAAAAAGAAACTTGTTGAAATGCGGGATTTGGGGAATAAAAATCCTCTGTTGATTCAATACAAGACATCCTAAATTTCAAAGATACAGTAATTAAGTAAGATATAGCTCATAATTATAAGTTATAATTTATAATTTAATTATAATTTATGAGCTATATATGAGAGAATTACTTGATGAAGAGCTCACTATCGATCATGAGTTATGTAAGATTTCTGGCAGCTCAACTATAGATTTGGAAAGGTCAGGGGAAACCACTGTACCAATTGGGTACTGACACTGAGTCAACCCAGAAGTTCCCAAACATGATTTTGTATTCAAGTCACATGAGTTTTTATAAAAACTTGTATTACCAGGATCTATTTGAGAGATAGTCATA